TAAAAGATATTTTAAAAAGTATTTAATATTATTAAGGAGCCTGCTTTAATGTAATATATTTTTCATTACAAAGAAGTGGTATTTCATTAGCAACCCAATTATTAACGTAAGTAGGGCCAAAGGTAGCCTCTAGCTATTGAATACCTTTTGAATAATTGATTATTTAATTCAACAACTTTATCAAAAGACCTTAGACCTTTGCCTTAACCTTATAATGGAATACTTAATTTCATATTCCTAACAAATGTGCACTGATTTTAAATTAGGAACAACCGGAAACTTTTATTAAAAACCTTTCTATGTAACCTCTAAATTATGAAATTTTTTTAATATTTATTAACAAAAAATATATTTAACTCTTCAACGAAATCAAAAGTGAACCCTCTGCTTACCGGCAGAAGCACGTGACCGTCTCCTCGACATCCAATGGCAAGGATAGCTGTGTTGCTGGGCCAGTTCCACTGCCAGCTGCTCCACCACTACCACCATTACCTCCTCCTCCTCCTGTTGCAGCACCTGCACCAGAGGCATTCCCCTTGCCACCATTCTGACCGTTGTTGGCATTCTGGCGCGGCACAGCCCGCCCAGGAATGTGACGCGACGAGGCGTGCAGGAAGGTGGCAGCAAAGGTGGACGAGAGTGAGGAATGCGAAGCCGAGGTGCGGGGCGTCGAAGCGGTGGGCGTTTGTGGAGCTGTGGATGAACCATCACCGGCTTCAGCCAGAGGAACCGATGAGTAACGGACAAGGATGGCACGGCTGACACGATTGCCGCCCGTGAGATTCGAGATGGCCCAGTTCATGGCCTCCAACGGACGGACTTGAGGACGGACTGACCGCTACCGCCGCTCGAGTGCAACTGAGCTGCTGGCCGGGGCCAGAAACCCTAGGAAGCCCCCTTGAAGGGGATGGTGATGATGGTGCAACCTTCTTTGCACATACTAAAATATACACAATATTGGCCTGCAAAAAAAATAAATAAATTGATTTTGTCTAGTGATTTGAGCCACGCCCCATAAGCTTGCACTGGGCCGTGCTGTCAATCAATGGATTTCTCAACTAAGACTGTAGAAAAAACAGTCCCCCCCTTGCCTTGTAGCATTTGTTTTCCCCCATTTGTTTTTTTGTAGTTGCAATTTTCCCTTTTTCCCCCTATAGTTGCAACCCTGCACTGCACCCTGCACCCTGGCTTGCCGGCTAATTCAATTAGAGTTGTACTAAGTGCGCTTCAAGGCTGTTGGAATGCACACGCCGCCAGCGGAATAGCGAGGGTTGCTAATGAGGTATTTTGCCTTAGAAATTCTTGGCACTCATAACATATTTCTCAAGAAAAACGCTTTATAATTATAGTTAAAGTCTAAGAAAAAAGTAAATTAACTTGACTTAGACGTAGGAATCTAAGTAATAACTTGAAAACTAAACAAAAAGTTCAATATAAGAAGTCTAAGGAAAGCTGTATTGAATTTACAAGTTGGTGAAGTGGCCTGCTCTTACTTGAATTTTCTATAAAGGGTGTTTCTTGCCTCTTCAAAACTTTTTACCATCCTTGAACTTTGCTTTCTTCCATATAAAGTTGAAATTAAATATTGAATATTAAATTTACCTAAATAAACAAACACCCCGACTAAATCTATATACATTTCTCCCAGTGAAAAAGCCCTCTTTTGCTGGGCAAGGGAAAAAAATCGATAGCCTTTCTCTTGCCACATTTTTAATTGTTTTGCCAAGCTCTAATGAAAGCCCTGCTCCATTGGAGGGCGATGACGTCCAGCCCAGGCCACCCAAAAAAACAAAAAAAAATAATAGGAGGAAAAAAGAGGAACCCTTCTCCTGCCCCCCAGATGATTCCCCACTCGTATGATGTTGTCGTCCTCCGCTGGCAGCAGCACATCAACTGATGTGTGTACTTTTCCCCTTTTATTATTTTTTTTTTTGGTGTATGGGGTGTGACATGTGACACAATTTGTTTGTTCTTTGTTGCTCTCACATCGTTCTTTTTTTTCGTGTGTTCCTTTGCCTATTTGGATGCTGTGACAGTCCACAAAAGATTGGCCCTGTGTGTGTGTGCCAGTATATATATATTTGTATATAGTATTCTCTGTTCTGGTATATAGCTTTTACTAACGACTTTACCATCTGTCAACACACACACGTGTATATACGAGAGCAAATTGTCAAATTGTCAGTGGGTTGTGCGGACTTAATTTGTCCAACGGACCAGGGAAGCCATTCATTAAAAACCCTCCAGCCTCGATGTCTGTTTCTAATCAACTCGATTTCCGCATTTTGCCACCGCTCAATTTGTCTATTTAATCACTAAATTGTGCCTAATTGCTTTTCTTCCGCAATTTGGTACCTAGTTAGTTTAGTATGTCATTTTTGGGTGGTTTGCGAACAGGTATACATATATAGGATACCAAGTCAAGGGTTTACAACCCTTAAATCCGTGTCGATTCGATGGATTAAGGGTCTGAGTTCAATGGCAAAGGTCTATGTTCAACTGACCGGTTGTCGGGAATATAATTAGTTAAGGGACTTGACGAGGCTAATAGAAATTAAGGGTAGACAAAATAAAGAAGGGGAGTCCTTAAAATGAAGGACTAGGAGTTATACATAATGAAACCAGACTATATAAGGCAGTGGAATAATGAAATTGAAATAAAATATGGTTTAAAATTAAATATTATTTTGAATAATAACACGTTTAGATTGAATAATCTTAATATTTTTTGTGAATTTCCTTAGTAACAGCTTTGCCTAGCCTTTTTTTAATCCCTAATATGAAAATGCCTGGGAAATATTTTTAAGTTAAGGGTTGAGAGTTTATTCCCAAAAGAAGCGTATTCTCAAAGGGTATTCTTTATTTATTGTCTATCAAAAAGGTAGATTCCTACCTATGTACCTCTTTTTTCCTTATGCAACCCTTTCTGGCATCTTTTTATAAAGAGATTGGGTCCTTTCCTTCTTTATAATTGTTTAAAAGTTTTTTTATACATAAAAGGGTAAGTTTTAAGCTGTCTTATTAAATAGAAGATAAGAGCCATGATATGGGAACTTAAAGTTGTGTGCTTCTATTTACGTTATTGGAATGAAATTACAAAAATCTGTAGATCTACTATTTGAAATTCAAATAATAAATAAACATTAAGATTCGCAATTTTTTAAGTATAAAATATTAAAATTTATTTTTATTGCATTACCAAGTTTAAAACGTCTTTACTTGGAACTCAAGTGTGTTAATGAAAATTGGCAAGTTCATTAAACCTGCTGGCTATCTGTAGAATTCCGTCCCTGCTTGGAGGCATAAACAAAAGGCAAAAAGCAAAAGCAAAAGAGGAGAAGTGGCGGAGAAGCGACGAAGATGGGCACAAAAATAAACGCAATGCAATCAAAGTGCAGCGATGGCCTTGCGACTCCGCGATTCGTGGGAAGAAGAAGAAGGCGATCACACGCACGCACACACAGATGACGCACTCCAGGGGCGGATGCAGAAGGCAATAAAAAGAGGGGAATCAATATGAAATATTAACCATATTAAATTGTACACTAAATTATAGTTTTTAAAAATTTTTAATTAATAATTTCTATAATTTTAGTTTAATGAAAGTAAAACTGATTTAGAATTTAGTATTATTTTTAATATATTCCTGATTTTAGTTAAAGTAATAACACTTAATGATTGCTATTTAATCAAAGTAAACATAACATTTATTTACCTCAGAACACCACCTCTCCCCCCTGAAGAAGCCACTGAGGCACACACACATACATACAAACATTCGTGTTTCGAATTTCCTATGGAGTTCAGTGTGTAAGTAAATCAAAACACTTGCGGCTTGGTAACCAGATTTGAGAAATCGATAAAATGCCCATTAATTTTTTTTTTCAACGCCGCCAATCACAACAAAGAAATGTCCCTATCAAAAAGGAGATACCAAAAGTTCTTTGTTGAAATTATTCCATAAACAAACTAGATTCAGTTTCATAACTCGACCATAAAAGGGTTAACTTGCAGGGTATGGCAGTGGTCTACTCCTGTGGGAGACGTGACGAAAGAAGAAATTTCTGTCGGCGAAAATGCGAAACGAGGCCAATTGGCAAAAGGCCAAATGGCGACGAAAAAGAGTAAGCAGACGAGAAGAGAATAACAACAACAACAACAAAAACAGAGGACACAAAAGACACAGAGCCGTAACGAGGAGATGCGAGACGAAGGAGACCCACCAAGTGGCCGACCAATGTACCCCATGTATATTTTTAGGGAAAAACTTCTCATTTGGGGGACATTCGCAGCGATTATGCTGCGGAATTTGCGGTTTATTGTTATATATTAACTCACCCCATCAGCCAATCGACCGTGTCGCGCAGATATTCCGGAATTCGCTCCAGTTTGACGGCTGTTTTTGCTGCTGCCTGCTAATTTTCCAAAGTTTTTCCCCAGCTGAGGGAGCAAAACGCACACACACACACACCACGGACGCACTCGAGAAGCGTACACACACACACGCGCGCAGACGGGTTGTGGGAGACGCACACACGCACACGCACACCACCGCCACCAGGATGTGGAGATCACCGGGCTAGCCAATCGACACTTTTACTTTTATCAATCAATATTTGGGTAATTCGTTTTGAAACTTTGCACATCAAATTTTTTTCCTGCTTCTTCTTCACTTGTTTGTGCACTTTGTTGAGGTCCCGTTGTCGATGCGAAACGATTACAATCGATAGGCGATATACGATCTGCGCACGCACTCGATAGTAGCTGCGCAGAGGTGGTTAGGGTTTCGTAGTTTAGGGAATAGTTGGTATTATTTGGCTTGCTTTTTCTTCTTCTATGGCTTGTTTACAACATCTGTTCTAGTAATTGTTTGCCTCGACTAATGATTGTCACTGCTATTTTAAGTGTGCAGCCCTGATTGTTTCCTATCAGCTGTGTGGCTAAGATTTTGTATCGATAGTTCTAGTCGATGTGTGGTGGCAACACTGTTATTATCGAATACCAAACTGCTGGCAGCATGCCGTGTTTCTCATCACTTAACAGCTGACAATAAAATTACATAAATATGGTACATCGTTAGCTCATTTTTGGACGAAAACAAACGTAAAAATCTAAAATTTCTCCCATTCCATATACGTAATTTCCACCGTGCGATGGCAACGAACCACAAACCAACACCTCAATTCAAGGCAAGCTCTGTAATCCTGGCCGGACTTGGTGTGGCCGCCGTTGGATTCGCCGGCAAGCACCTGCTGCGCCGCATGCCCCAGATGACAACCAAATTCAACGAGGCGCTCAAGAACATGCCCAAGTTCGATGCGGAGAGCATGGCGGCGTCGAAATACTACAAGGGCGGCTTCGATCCCAAAATGAACAAGCGGGAGGCGGCTCTCATCCTGGGCGTCAGTCCAAGTGCCACCAAGCAGAAGGTTGTGAAGTTATAAGTTATGTAGTGTTTTATACATTAGTTTTATATATTATTTTACTCCTTTTGAAGGTTAAGGACGCGCACAAGAAGATTATGCTGCTGAATCATCCGGATCGAGGAGGTTCTCCGTATTTGGCGGCCAAGATCAACGAGGCAAAAGACTTCCTCGACAATGCCAAGTAGTCATCTTACTTCGCCCTTGAGTGTAAATAAAGTAGTTTGTGATTAGTTTAAGCTCAAGTCTGTGTTTATTTTAGGGTTATTGTTGCACAAATTCATGATATATGCATCCCAGTCCAAACCCCAACTGTAGGTGGTCCGGATTACAATCGCAATTGTACTTCCAACAGATAATCAACTTTGCTCTGCATACTAATTGTTCCCCCAAAGCGCATTCTTTTAGAAAACAAAATATTTATTATATATTTTATCAGTATAGTTAATATAGCATCGCTTACTTTTGCGCATCATGGGGTTGTGCATGGATAATAGTAGGTTGATGTTTAAACAGGCAATCAGAAGAGTTAATACGATTTTTAATACACACTCCATGGCGGGGCGACTTGTTACTAAATGGTCTTAATTGAGCCCAGGCTAATCTATAGTTTTTTACAATGGAAAAATGTGTAATGGAAATCTGTTTACAACACAGGTGTGATGTGGTAAACTTATCCTATGGAGTTTTGATTGCACTTTTGTTTATGACCTTCGCTATTCCTGGCAATAAGTTGTAAATTATTTTAATTTAAAATAGTTTGTTTTATTATAAACTTTGTTTAATAATGCCAAATAATGAAAGCTTTAAAGAACCTTTGTTAGTTAGAAATGGCTTTAAAGTATGAAAAGTTATTTAAACAATTGTTTTGTGGATTATCCAAGCCGTTGCGAATTATTTTGTTTACTCGACCCCGCAAATTATTCTCACGCCGATTCGTATTAGCATAGACCCAAAATATAGGCCCATGTTTACTCAGTTATACTGTAGACTAACTTTGAGGGGTATAAATAGTTCCAGCTTTGAACCAGAACAGCATCAGTTGATCCCAACCAACTATCAAACCAAAGACATGAAGTACACTTGCGCCTTGCTCCTTTTAGCCTCCGTGGCCTGTGTCCTGGTGAGCCTATCGAGTGCAGCCAGTTCCACAACCACAACGGAAGCCTCTTCGGGAACCACCACCACGACAGCAGCATCCTCTTCCTCTGACACCACCACCACCACGGCTTCCTCCTCGGACTCAACTACTACCACCACAGAGTCATCATCCTCGTCGGGCAAGAAGAAGCATGTTGTCCACTATAAAAGGAAGATCCATCGCCCCAAGAAGGTCAGGAAAATCAAGAGGAACAGGAGTCGCAGGAACCGCAGTGGTTAAGCAGCATTTCGAGGCCTTAGGAATTGATCCAACTCTTCATCCTTTTGATTTGCCACATACCTGAATACCTGACCTTTATAATATAAAATTTTCAATGACATAAATAAAATGCTAGCATAAAAAGATGTACATGTTGTAGGAGTTTACTTTAATATTGTTATTTTTTGTACTAACCTAATTAAATAAGTAGGAAATAGTTAGCTTTGTTCCTTTCTTAAGCTTCGGCTTTTTTCTCGTCCTCAATTCGAATCATTTCCGCACGAAAGTCCTGAACTGAAGCCATATCCTTGGCATCTGGTTGTTTCTCCATTAGAGCCTGCCAGATCCTTGCAAAGTCATCTTCTGAGACAAATCCTTGGAATATACGTTCCATTTCGACTTTGCCGCGTGCCTTTCGAAAATCACTTGGCCAAATGCCACACAACATGGGTGGATCAGGTCTAATTATGTCCTTGACGTGTGTGTTATTAATATCCTCCTTAATGGGCGAGATGTGGGCATGTGGGATGTGGGAAACTAAACCCTCCTCAGGTTTCTTGGCTAAATCAGCGCAGAGCAGGCGATAGGTGGTGAATTTATTATACACCGTTTCCGGTTCCGGTGAAATGGATCCAATCGTTGGCAATGGCTTCAGCACGGAGAGGATATCGCACAGCCCCTCATATTTCACACGCTCCTCGCAACAGTTCTCGTCCACAAATAACCCGAAATGGGAGGCAGCAATGCGTAATTTTTCAAAATTACCTGGAATATTCATTTTTCGCATAATTTGTATGATCTGTGCCAGTGGCAACTGGCGAGTTCCCTCCGTATCCTTCTTATCCAGAGCCGTAATCAATTGATTCATATTAAAGTCATCACGATGCTGGAGTATGTTCCTCAGGTGATTTATATGGCTAATGGCAGCGGTCATTTTAGCAGTACGAGATGAGGGCGATGTGTACTCCATTAACGATTGTACACCGAATTCAGGTTGCGACATTTTGCCAAAGGTCATGTTTTTAGGGAATTTATATGGATACCAGCTAGGAGGAAGAAGGAAATATATTAAGGTCCTTCGAAGGACAAGCAATATCTTGTTGGTTTAAGGAATAGAATAAATTCTACATATTCTTCTCCTTTACTTACAGAAACTTCTTGCCCAAAGGAGCTTTAGTGCGATTATCTAAATCTTTTTTGGGCTTTTTTATTATTTTCAGGTGCTCCTCGCTCTCGTTCAAGCAATTCTTTACCTTTATACCCGAGGGATCTGTATTGGTGGGAACACCAAAGGTATCAAACCGATTAAAGCTATCTGTATATCTAAAACGAAGTCAATCAAGCTTGTGAGTAAAAAAATATATAGATATATATATAAAACCAACCGTCGATTGATCTGTTCCGAGGGAAAGTAATGATTATGACTGATAATGTGCTGATTGTGGTACTCGGCATACTCCCTATTAACCTGCTCGACAGTTTTTGGTGGCATTATCACCGAATACACCGAATCTTCGGGTATGGAACTTATCCCAAAAGTTTGACTCCAATTGTTCACATTTTCCGGTATCGAATAGGTTTCCATGGCTTGACTCAAAACGGGTCTTCGGATGAAATAATTCTCGCGAGATTTTTCCTGAATATTCTCAAAGGGTCCCTTTTGAAGATTTTCACCGAAATGATCGTCCATATTGCTTTTGGGATGCTTGGGTGTACGGGCATAAGATTTGGGTTTCTGTTGCCGGCAATGGGCCAAAATCAGATGCTCCGCCTGCTCACCAATGTCCAGGCTCACAAGGCAATCCTTGGCGCCAAAATTATCCTCAGGATTTGTGAGTGTTGAAATTCCTGCAGCCCGTATATCGGGATTTCTATCTGTATAATGGCCCAGATTTGCCATTTTTTTTTTTGTTGAGTTAATATTGGATACTATAATGCTATGCGGTGTAAAGTTGTTATGTTATTTTAGATGCTGATAGTTGACAGAACAGCTTGCTAGGATTATTAATTTTATATGTTCCCCTTTATTTATATTTATAATTACTTAAAATAGTGTTATTTATGGTACAATCAATTGGCAGGTGGGGTTTTCTTTTCCATCTTGGCACGGAATTGACTCACGGATGCCAAGCCATCCTGTCCCTTGGCTTCCTTTTGCTCTGCCATGAGACATTCCCAAATGGTTTCAAACTCCTCTGTGGATATAATATTCCCAAATATACGTTCCATCTGGGCCTTGTCTCGCGGACAATTGAAATCACTGTTTCCCAGACCAATTTGGATGGAAAAACTAGGAAACAGAATCTCACTAAGCTGCACATCATCAAGATTTTGACTGGGTTTTTTATAAGTTGGACCCTCTACGGGTTTTTTCAAAAGATCGCTGGTGAATAGACGATAGGTTGTCTCCTTGTTGTACATAATCTCAGGTGCAACACCAATATTTCCCACTGGGGGCAGGGTTTCCTGGACAGAGAGCAGTCGACAAAAGTCGTGATAGTTCACATTTTCCGTGGCGCAACCCTCATCGATGATCATCCGGAAGTGAGACAAAGCTCTGCGGATTTTGGGTACATTCAACCGGATGTGGAGTTTAAACATGGTTTCCAGAATAAGTGAGAGGGGCATATGTCCTGTATTCTCCTTGTCGATCTTCTCCAGCTTGGAAATTAGATCAATCATGTAGAAATCATTCCGCTTTTGCAAACTATGTCGCAGCTCGAGTAAATAGGAAATAGCATTGACCAAGGTATCATCCTTTTGTAATTGCATTTTCTTGAGACAATTTCCACGAATACAAACGCCAAAGGTAATGTCCGGGACTTTGTCTAGGTATCTAAAGGGTATATAATTAAATATATATTATCAATAGAAATATAAGTACTTAATGGATTACAATATAAACATACCAAATTACAACGTAACTGGGTTAAATATGACTTAATCAGGTAATTAGGTTACTACATCTATAGTACCAACAAAAAATGTTTAAAAATAGCCTTAAGATGTCTTTAATTTCTAGGCCTAAATTGGTCCACACTTGAGTAAATAATTTAAGAACAAACTGAAGACAAGACAAGAAAAATTATTACTCATTGACGTCAGTTGTTATGATACCTCTTTAATTTTTTAGAACTTAAGATGCTTAAAAAGTTAACTTTAATTTATACCTTTTCCCTTTTTATTTATATATATATTTTCTTTTAGGTTCTCTTACTTACTTTCCATATTTTTTACCCAAAGGTGCACGAGTACGTTGAGCATAATCCATCCAGGCTTTGTTGACCACGGTCAAATGCTCATCACTTTGTGCCATACATTTCTTCATTGTGAAACCATTGGGCTCACAACCTTGTTTTATGCCAAAGGTTTCATATCTCTCAAAGGGTTTTATGTAACTAATAAAAAATATAATAAATTTAAGGGATAAATAAGTAAACATATACATGAAATTGTTAACTTTCCGGCAATATAGTATAAGCTATGGGACAATTATGATATAATTCTAAACTATATAAAAAGCAGAAGCCTTTTTCCAGACTTCTTTTTATATTTATTGCCAGAGTATAGCATTAAAAATCTCAAAAACAAACTTTAAATTATAGATTATAAAAAAACCAACCCTCGATTAATCTGTTCCGATGGAAAAAAATGATTGTGACTGACAATGTAACCTCTATGGAATTCGGCATATTCCCTATTAACCTGTTCGTCTGACTTTAATGGCATTATGGTGGTGTACAAGGATTCCGATGGTGTCTTAACTTGGCCAAAGGTCTGACTCAAATTGTTCACATGATTTGGTATGGATTGTGTGGGCATAATCTCTCCCACTTTGGCCGATTTCAAGTGCTTTTCTTCGAGGAATTTCTGCTTGAAAGTCGACAGGTTTTCCTCGATGGTGAGTAGATCCCCAACGCTAATGTCCGGAAGACATGGAGTACGTTTACCTATGGGTTCTGGTCTATTCCTCCTGCATTCCTCTTCTATTTTGCTGTGAATAATCTCCAAGGGATCCGTACTGACCAAAAGTTCTTTGAAATTCTGTCTATTTGGGCCAAAGGAGGGTAATCCTGCAGCTCTTTGGTTGCTGTTTCCCTCGACAGAGGGTCCTTTTTTGGGCATTTTTATAGTTTTTTGTATTTTTTGTGTGTAGTGTTAAGTTTTTTTTTGTATTTTTTTGTGTGTTGTGTTAAGTGTTTAAATGAGTATTTTGTGTGTGTTTTGGGGTAAAGATATTTTCTGATTTAATCATTGGACATTTAAAGAAACATGTACTATATTTTTTACATTTTTTTAATTTGCAGAATTGTACAATTTTAAATTTGCTTTCGGTTCCTTAACCCCTCCTGCGGGTCACAATCACAACGGTCTTGATGCATCTCTTTGGGTTCTTGCACTTCCTCTTGGGGATGCGAGTGTGGCACCAATTGTTGCTCCTGTTGCACTTAATCCTGTTGGGGGTAGAGGTCGTGGCAGTGCTAGCCGCAGTAGTTGTGGTCGTGGTTGTGGTGGCTGCTTCAGTGGTTGTTGTGGTTTGCGATGCAACCAACTGAATGGCCAGGACAATGAGGATACCTACAAATAGGAACTTCATCTTGAGTGCTTTTGCTGAGGTTAAACTGTTGCTGAACGATTGAGTGTTGTGATTAGCTCCGAGTTTGGTGAACAGCTTTTATACCCACAAATTAACTTCCTCTTTATTTAAGCTGTGTTGATATAATAATCTTAGATTTCCTCAAGAATTAATCGTGTATCAATAATATGGTTTGTGCAGCACGTAAACAAAGTTAAATATTTGACAATCAAAGCTTAAAGTTACTGAAGTCTACAGTTGATTTGGTAATCAAAATACAACCTTCAACATATTGTTTATAAATCAACCATAATTTGGTAATTGTACATATGTTTACATAAGCTGGCAGCTGTTGGAATATTGTAATAGTTCAATATTTGTTGACTTCTTGCTGTGGCATATAATAAAAAAATCAAGAACCTAAAGAGAACTTTTATTTTAATACGTTTCCAAAAATTTGCTGAAATAAAAGGAATTAATTTATTACTCTATTAATAAATAGGTCTTTTATATTTTTTATACTTTTTATAATTTCTTTGCAGTTCATGTAAATTTTACTTTGCTTTCTTCATTTCTTCATAAAACTGAGTGACGGATACTAATCCTTTCTGATCCTGAAAATTGACCATCAATCTCTGCCAAATCACCTCCAGTTCATCCTTGGCAATTAGTTTTCCAAAGATTTGTTCAATTTCCACCTTGGGACGTAATAAGGTAAAATCACTGGCTTCTAGGCCATCCATCGGGTTGAGTTCCGGTTCAAGGAGTTCCTTTATTCCAATTTCATCCTTTTCGACCTGTGGCTCTCTCGTAACCTTAGCCACATTGGTCTGCTTCTGAAGATCGGCACAGAACAGCCTGTAGGTGGTATCCTGGGAATCTAGATCCGCATAAGTTGCCACACCTCCCATGGAAGGAAGTGGCTCATTACTGGAAAGAAGCTTACAAAACTCCCGGTACTTCACCCTTTCGTTGCAAAGTCCTTCATCTACAATTATCTGATAATGAGACATAACAATTCGAATCATTTGAGTCTGCATGGGAATGCGGTATCTATGCAGGATTTCCAGGACTCGAGTGAGTGCCACAAGACCTGTTTCCTCTGGATCACTTCTTTCCATTACAGAGATCAAATGATGAAGATGAATATCATCACGTTTTCGAATATGTAAACGCAACATATTCAGGTGACTGATGGCATCCATCAGGAGCTGGGTTCTTGGGTCCGAAACAATATTATAGAGAATCGTCTTGACATCACCATTGCTGGGCTGGGTCACACCAAAGGTCATATCGGGAACCTCATAAAGATACCTTTAGGGGAGAGAAAGAGCCAATAAAATAATAATTATACTAAGAGGAAGAACTTACTTTTTAAATTTCTTTCCCAGAGGAGCCTCGGTGCGTTCCATAAAATCCACCTGAGCCTTGCCAATAACTTTGACATGATTCTCACCCTCCATTAGGCAGCTTTTCACCTTAAGTCCAGAGTCACCAAGCGTTTTGTTTTCTCCACAAGGATTATTCCGATCAAAGGGATGGGTATATCTGAAAAGTACACCTAGACATCAAATTTGTATATATATAAGAATGGTAATTCTAAAACCTACTTGCGATTAATTGGCTCTTCGGGAAAATAATGATTATGACTGACTATCCGCTTCTCATGAAACTCTGTGTACTCTGAATTAACCTGCTCCCGTGACTTGAGAGGCATTATCATTGAATACAGGGATTCATGGGGGGTTAGACTGGATGGCCGTCCAAAAGTTCGACTCGTATTGGTCACGCTGTCCGGCTTGGTGTGGGCTGGCTTAATTTCACCCACATTGGCCCTTTTGAAGAACAACTCCTCGTAGAAACGCTCCTTGAAGGACACAAAACGCGACTTTTGCAGATCAACGGTGAGCAAATCCCCTAGACTATCGTTCGGCATAATAGGTCCTCCTTCCCTGAGATAGGAGTACTTGGCTTTACTCTGTCTGCATTTATTGGCTCGCAGTAAGCCCTCGGCTAGCTCCTCTGGATGAGCAAATTCCAGGGAATTACGTAGGATCTCCTTATCCTTGATGGGCGGTCCTGCTGGTATGTCCGCATTTCGATCTATAAAGTGTCCTTTGTGTAACCTCTTGAACATGTTTTAATTAAAGTGTTTTGTGTGTGTATGTTAAGTATATGTGGAAGTGTCTTAAATAAGTTATTATAACTAAAATTTCAATAAGATAATATATATGACAACTAAGAAAAGGTATTAGTAAAGGAACAGTTTCAATTAAGAGAATAACATTCTTTTAAAGCTAACAAAAACCTTTTGAATCACTTTAACACTTAAATAAAAATTATAATTGAATTTGAATCACTTTAACATTTAAATAAATAAATAATTTGCTTTAATTGGTCTTGCAAAATGAGTATGTTCACATGTCAAATAATTTATGGCTTAGCACTAGTTCAACTTTAGCTACGTCTCCTAGTCTATTGTACATTATTCATTGCACTTTTTCTCTCTCTTTCTCTGGCCGCGGGGATGGCAAGTGTGTCTTCTTATTTTCGCTCAGTGCAGGGCACGATTCTTGTGTAACACAAAATCCCAGGTATCCTTCCAGCGTAAATCTCGCACCTCATTTGTGGTCATCTGTCGTGCTCCATAACTCAACGGCATGAATTTGACAAAAATGGATAGAACAGTCAGGAGCCACAGGATTATGCCCAGGCGATAAGCTCGCACAATGTTAATCCAACGTCCAGTGCAGATCAATCGTAGCAGATAATCCACATGTTCGATGACAAAGCACAAGAGGAGCAGCTTAAACACAAAGGCTGGCAAGTAGTTGTGCAGGAACAAAGTGCGATCCACAAAGAAGTAAGGCAGATAGTGCATCAGGTAACCCACAAAGAAGGTATCACCGGCTATGAGGAAGCGCTGCCACTCCGATTCCGAGATATCAAAGCACAAACGTCGACGACGTATAGCATAGAAGGCAAGTAAAAGGGCGTAAAAGAAAAGTGCAGCAGTGGCCGAATACCAGATGACTAAGTTTCCCAGCAGATAAATCTGGGCACTGGACTCCGAGTCCACCCAGTAGGCAATGCCCTTGTCCATCAGTGGCCATTCGTGCGGCATTGAGCTATACATGTGGCTGGGCACACTCTTTGATTGAATGAGCATCTTGGCCTGCAGTTCGATTAACTTTTCCCAGAAGGATAGACGTGTCTTCTTTGTGGGTATCATCTCGGCGGTCATTAGCTGACGTTCCCGCTCCCGGTGATCCTCAGCTGAAAAATTGGAAGTACTTTAAAAATCATCCATTTAAATATATAATTTCTCTCTACTCACTCTGCGTATAGCGATGCTCTTCAACATTCCAAATGGTATCCTCCTGACTCTTCTCGCGATCTGCCACCACTTCGTGCTGATTGAAGCCCCAATCCGGTAATTGGCGACCAGTGAACTTGAGTGCTGCTCCCGTGGACTCGTGTACAAGCCTGATTTGTGATTTGATGGCATGCCACTTGTTGCCCTCGGTGGCTCTATTTAGAATCTCCACACGCCACAGCAGTTCACCGGCCATTTTGATCTCGTAGTCAATGTAACAGCTAACCTCCTGGCATTGAGGGGTCATTGGAGCAGCCACATCGTGAGAGTTAAGAGCTCTGCTTGTGATTCCATGCACCAACTGAATGACATCGCCGTGCCTTATTACATCCGGCTTATTTCCCACTACAAGATTCTCCTTGTTTGGTCGTTTCACCAGCCACCAATTGTTTACATCCTTGAAGGAGTAACAGGTTACTTGCTGTTGATGCGAGGATCCCCTCTTGTCTGGATAACGCACGGGATATACTGCTGCATGTGAGTGCAGCCAGCAGGTGCGTCCATGGGTGTGACGTAGTGTGATCTGGGAACCATGGACCACGGCCAATGGCTGTCCTCGGGTGATTGATGCCAGGCCACCTTCCAGGGAGGCCTGAAAGGCGCTGGTCATGATGCTATCGTGTGGTCCCGCCTTGTAAAGTGCCAGAAAATGGGCATAGAATACGCCTATGTAGACTGCCAAAGGAATGCCAACGAAGATGAACAAGCGACTTAGGGCGTGCATCCACAGTTGACGATCTGAAAAAGGGTGAAATGAACAAGAATTAAATGAAATCCTTAAGACCACGTGGCGTATACGTAATATGGGAGGTAATATTACGTATACGCAACGTTGACAAGGTAGTTTTAAACTCACTCGTTAATTGTGCATCAAAGAGCAGCTGCCACAGGTGTCGACATAACAAATAGAATGCCAATCCCAAAGCCAGGAATCCTATGTACTTAATGGAACCCGCTGCACCCAAAAGCACAGCTGCTCCTGCTCCACTCAGCAGCCACTGGACACTTCCCAGGCGACATCTTTGGAAGCGGAGTAGACAGGCTATGCCCAGGGTACTACTCAGCAATAGCATCGATTCCATCAACACAAACCGGGATTGGGTCAGCAGTGAATTATCCAAAACCACAAGGAGACCACCAATGGCCGAGGCCCAGCGACTCAGCTTCGCCTCCTGCAACAGTTTGTAGACAGCGGGGGCGAGGAGACTGCCACACAGAGCCGGTAGAAATCGAAACCAGAATATGGGCATTTGGGGCGAGTAGGATGCTCCGATCCGGGAAAATGTATAGTTGCCATCATAGCCGGCCAGGCTAACTAACCCAGCAATCAATTGTTTTCCCAGCGGCGGATGTTGGTCAAAGAAGAAAATGTTGCGCATATACAAAGAAATGTACTTCCCATAATGAAGTTCATCGAAGCTGTGGAGGGAAAATTAAATGTTATTAATAATTAATTAAATGGATTTAAATATTTATGATTTGAGGGAAAATATCTGATAATTGATAAGAGCTTTAAGTGCTGCAGAACCTTCTATTCAATATCAAATCTGGTAATTGTGTTCAAAATAACTTAATTTCAATTCTTATATAATTAGAATCATTATCGGAATAGATACACTTTTTACTAATATTGTATTTTTAATATATCAACATTATATAATTAATTAATTAATATATTAATTCCTGATCAGATAACTTAATTATGTGCATTTTAAAATAACACATTAAGAGTTATTTGAAATCTGAAACATGTTAGCAAATTCAACCCATATTTGAAGTATAAAATCGATTGCTAAATGATATTGACAATCAATAAATACTAGTTTTAAAGCATTTTTGGTTACTATATATATTTCTATATAATATTTTCTTCAAGATAACATTAGGGTGCGGCTTAAAACCAAAAATAAACTTGATCCCATACCAAACTTGGTCGCAGTGCATATAAGAACATAAACATATGTACATACATATATACATATTTCTTTCATATATTTCTAGTCAGACTAGAGATCTCGTCTAGCAAGTTCTCATCTTCCCGAGTTCCGTGTCTAAATTATGATAAGAAAATAGGGAAAGCTGACTGAGGACTCATATCTGTAAGAAGATGAAATTTACTATTATGATCTCTTAATGGCAACAAAGATGCATAATAATATTGACCTGTATTTTAAATAAACTCTTAAGAACGAAATATTAAGAGTGTGGTAAAAACTCTTCTCTTCTCTTGACAAACCAATTTAGTTAATGGCCCCATTTCTCTGTTTTTATACCCTGTATTCAAAGAGTATATTGGGCTCCCAATCAGCTGTATAATGTTTCATTTTAAGTAACTAATTATTACATTATATTATCAATGTCTCTAAATGCTGTTTATGATTTCAAAATTAAGAATTAAATGTATATTTAATGGTCGACTATTACGTTTTGCTTTGCTTTCTTTTACTCACACAATGTGCGGCGGTGTTGCCAACTTGTAGAAGCGCGTGCCGAAGGCCAACAGAAAGAGAGTCCAGCTAAAGAGATCGATGCTCAAGCTAACGGTAAATGGCGGTGTAACTGCTGTTGTTTTATTCTCTTTATCTGCTGCTCTTGCTGCTGCTGCAACGCTCTTGTGTTTTTTATAGGAAGAACGCAAACGAGACGGCGATCGTGAGACCGAGCGAGAACGATCGGTGGTGGGCGAGGGGGAGGCTTGTTTTGGCGTCGGCGTTGGCGTTGGCGTTGCCGTCTGCGATGAATGCCGGCTGACGCTGCCGCGCAGCGGCGCATTCAAATGGCAGTTGACGTCGACGCAGCAGTTGAGCAGCGTTAAACCACCGTTACAGCACACTGGTGAAGGTGAGTTTGCAGCTGCCGCTAATGCTTGCGTTATTGTTGTTGTTGTTGTTGGTGGCGGTGTTGCTGTCTTTGTCGAGTTTGTTGAACGGCTGCGAAAGTGAAGTCTTTCGTTTGGTTCGCTCAGATCGCTGCCCCATGGTGGCTGTTGCTGTTGTTGTTGTTGTTGTTGTTGGTGGTGCTGCTGCTGCTGCTTTAACTTGGTCGTCTTGCGGCGCTGCGTAATTGTGTTGGTGTAGGTGGCAGACATGGTGTTTTTTATTATTGTTTTAGTCGTGCGATTTGCTCATTGGAATTTAGCGGGCATTTCTTTCTCGCATTGTTTTCATACTCAACTTCTTCCCTTCACTTTCACATATCAATTAGCGATCGACTAACACACACACACACATATATATAAATATGAGATAATTAAGAAATCACTTCTTGTTTCTTTTATGTTTTGGTTTGTTTTCTTTTATTTTCGTTTGCCACGTTCGTGGGCCTTGCTGCTGCTAAAAAAAAAAAACTAAGGTAACAAACCAGTTTTGCACTTTCTACAGTTGTTCACTTGTCCGGTTGCTTCCTCTTCCTCTTCTGTCTGCGCCTTCTTTGGCGATTTATATTTGCATACAAATTACAGACGGCAGGCAGCCAGCTGATGAAGAAAGTTTCGTTGCCGAAATATTCCCACAAATACACTCACATACGCGCACACAACACACACGGTTGTCGGATATAGTAGCGCGATATCTATATCTTTCGCTTCTTGGTTTAAACCTGCACGTCCAAAGATCTCTGACACAATGTTCGCATGGAACCGCGATGGTTCACCTCTGCCGCTGTCTCTGTTGCGTCCGCTGCCTCTGCGCTGCTGCTGCTTATACCGGCGTCGCTGCCTGCGCCCGGAATGCGGTCCGGCGGCTGCGATTGGAGCCCTGTCTCTTTTCCTCGTTCTTTCCTCGGGCTCTTCGTCTGCACCTTGATTCTTAACCCATTTCCCGTTTTGCCAGCAGAGAGATGGCCCAGTGATGCCGGGGTTTTGAATAGGAAAGTAACTAGATCGGGGGATAGAGAAAGGGGGAAATAAATATGAATTAAATGTTATATGTAATACGCATTACTTCGTCTTATTAGATAAAAATATTTTATATTTTGGAAATACTTAATGTATATATATATATATGTAAATAGTTATTCCTATACATTAAGTATTATGAATATTATTGAATAGTTTATATACAGTTTTTAAATATGAACAAGGCAGAAAGGAAACATAAAATAAAATGTTGTATGTAATAGCCATAACTTCTTCTTTAGATATTACATAAAAATATTTCATATTTTGCCGATACTTAATGTAAATATATATATGTATATACATATACGTATACGTATACATTAAATATCGGCAAAATATGAAATATAATGTTTGTACGATTATTTAATATAAATTATGAATAGTTTATATACGGTTTTCAAATTATATATATAAAATATTAAATCTCCATAATAAATTATATATTTCTGATTACATGCAAACTGGTCCCTAAAAGTTAAAGATATCTGAATGAAACTTTGCAGTTAGTCTTCTATATACACTCACACGTATATAAGTTAGAACGGAGCGGATCGTATAACTATATAATATAGCTGCGATTGGAACGATAGGAAAATTGTGTTTAAAAAATTATACATTTTCCAGCATATTCTCGCCAAAATTTAAATATAGCCATTTTGTATTATTCTAGGATTATAATTTAATAAAAATATGATTACCATATCATATTGCTGCTATAGGAACAATCGGGAAACAATTACAAAACAAATACAAGAATTTTGATATTTTTTCATTATATTTTCATCTACTCAGAGATGTTGCTTTTTGTTAATATTTCAGAATTTCCGATTTCATGTTATAAAAATCTGACGACTATATCATAAAGTTGCCATAAAAACAATGGTTTAATGTAAAATAAGGAGAATTAAAAATTGTGAATGTAAAATTTTAAAAGAAAAACTGTAAATATAGTATGTGTATGTTACGAAAGTAGGCATTAGTTCCTTGTTTTTTTTTTACAAATAATTTATATTATATTAATTATTAATGATCTATTTGCGACCTGCAAGTGTCTATATACCCGAAGGTAGCTTCCTCTCGTGTTCAGATTTAATTCAAGAAAAAAATAGCTACATTTAGCGAGTTTTAGCTAGACCGGCACCACTAGAAATGCATGCAACACGATCTCTCCCCTTCACGCTCTCTCTTTGCACCCTCTCAGCTTCAGCCTTTTCTCTTTCTCTTCGGTGTGAGTATGTCGCCAAACGGATTCTGTAATGACGGAGAAAGACAACAACAACAATTAAACACCATTTATTGGCACTGTTAAGAGAAGTAGTTAGCGGCTCAGGGGACCGTATTATGAAGCACGCGTCACAGGTGGAAGAGAGAGAGAGAGAGAGAGAGATGGGGAACCTGTTCCCTTGATTTACGACCCATTCTTCGGACCTTACAACGCCGATGAATGTGTGTGAATGTGTACTCGCGTGACCTATTGGCCTTATTCATGGCATCGTTTTTAGTACTCTTCAGCAAGACTTTTGCCGTTTGTTGTTTGTGTCGATACATGACATCAGGTACTTTTATTCAGCGGCATTAGGTAAACGCTTTTAAAACCAGTTCCGCATAATAACCCGATTCTTTATCACCAACAAGTTGGTGTCTTTATGAACCGACATTTTGTGTTTAGGAACTAATTTACATATAAGGAATAGCGAATGAAATTGACTTGAGACTTGAAATTGCATTATATACTATTTATTTAAAATTAATAACAGTTTAGTAATGAACATAACAAATATAACAATAGATGATGCTAATGAGATGAGTTTACAAAGTCAGGTATCAGGAAAGCCGGGTAAGGATCGGTTGTGTGTTGTTTTGAAGATTAACCGCTGCGGTTCCTGCGACTCCTGTTCCTCTTGATTTTCCTGATCTTCTTGGGGCGATGGATCTTCCTTTTATAGTGGACAACATGCTTCTTCTTGCCCGACGAGGATGATGACGACTCTGTGGTGGTAGTGGTTGAGTCCGAGGAGGAAGCCGTGGTGGTGGTGGTGTCAGAGGACGAGGATGCTGCTGTCGTGGTGGTGGTGCCCGAAGAGGCTTCCGTTGTGGTTGTGGAACTGGCTGCACTCGATAGGCTCACCAGGACACAGGCCACGGAGGCTAGAAGGAGCAAGGCGCAAGTGTACTTCATGTCTTTGGTTTGATAGTTGGATGGGATCAACTGATGCTGTTATGGTTCAAAGCTGGAACTATTTATACCCCTTACCAAGCCGGGTTTACACACATTAGCGTGAGAATTTTACCTTATCAGAATGCCAGGTGATCCAGATAGGCAAATATAACTCAAAAACCGGGCTAATCAAATACCAATTGGCAAAAAACCTATGCCTACCACAAGACAGTTGTTCAAACATTGAAGACATTTATTTTTGGTAGTATAATGTTGTGTCTGGAACCATATGGATGCTATTTTGATATTTCAGCTGTTTATATTTATACACGCACTTTCTTATATTATTAATAGATCATTGCAAATACAATGTCACAGGGAGTCATTATTTAAAATAAATAAATTTACAGTGCAGTTATACTTAAGTCAAAAGATTAGGAATTTTGAACAAATTTAGATTAAATATAATATACTAAAATACTAAGATATATGTGTAAGTTCAGATATAATGAAGCCTCATTGCTAATTATATAAAATTTTATGCCTAAATTATATTTTTAAGTATTCTTCTAACAGTAAAAAAGACTTCGAAGCTGATTATATTATAAAAATAACCATTATAACTTATATGTAGAATCTAGTTTGTCCTATTGCCTTTTTCTAATGATTATATTTACTTTAAAAGCAGTCTATTAGATTGGCCTAGTTTTAAAGTTATATCACATGGAAACACACGTAAAGTTCTCACGCTGATCTGGATAAGCCCACATCAGATATCAGATATTTGCTCAGCTTTTCCTTTTAAGAGGTATAAATAGTTCCAGCTTTGAACCATAACAGCATCAGTTGATCCCACCAAACTATCAAACCAAAGACATGAAGTACACTTGCGCCTTGCTCCTTCTAGCCTCCTTGGCCTGTGTCCTTGTGAGCCTATCGAGTGCAGCCAGTTCCACAACCACAACGGAAGCCTCTTCGGGAACCACCACCACAACAGCAGCATCCTCGTCCTCTGACACCACCACCACCACGGCTTCCTCCTCGGACTCAACCACTACCACCACAGAGTCATCATCATCCTCGTCGGGCAAGAAGAAGCATGTTGTCCACTATAAAAGGAAGATACATCGCCCGAAGAAGGTCAGGAAAATCAAGAGGAACAGGAGTCGCAGGAACCGCAGTGGTTAATCCTTTTATAAAACAAATCTGATTTCGACCCGGTCTTTCCTATACCTGACTCATTGAATACTTCATTAATAATTATATTTAATATTTATCTTAATTATTATAAAATATAAAAGTTTTATATGAATTAAACATTAATTTAAACAAAAAAGGAAGCTTACCACGCCGAGCCGAACTCTATATATATTTTTGGGTTGGAACTTAATTAAGAGACAGCATTTAAAATTGTTCAAACTTAGCCAAAAATGCATAAATTTTAATTCGGAAAGCTTTCCAATGTTAGTTTTAGTTAGGGTGATAAATCTACATACTCCATTCAAAATTTTTTAAAATTTACATTTTTGACAATTTTTGACAATTTTTACGATTTTAACCCCCTATAAAATTTAAATAAAATTTCTAAATTTTTTTTTTTACCGGACATTGCTAGTTAGATTCTCCTGTTCATGCTGATCAAGAATATATATAATTTATTGGGTCGGAAATGACTCCTTTACTGCGTTTTAAGCCTCTGAAAAAATTATAATACACTTTAGGGTATAAATATACAAATCTTTTCTGACCTTAAAAAGTAATGTTTTATTTTTAAACTATTAAAAACAATATATTTTTAAGTGCAGAATTCAATACCCAATCAAATACATTTCAAGTACATTGGACAATTAAAATTATTAATTAATTGTTTTTTTATGAAACCAAATATTTACTTGAATTTTGTTTTTTAAATATTTGGCATCTACATAAATTCCATTTTGTGGATTTCAAAACAACTTGCAACTCTCCAATACCTAGCATAGTACTCGCTGGTTCTACAAACAGTTTATAGAACTCTCCACTGTTGCTAACATGCAACTGTTGAGTAAGCCCAACGTTAGAGGGAGAGAGAGGGAGAGACACTTTAAAATGGAGCGAAAGAGAGGACCTGAGAGTCCCACAGATAGAGAGCAAAAGTCGAAAACAGAGAGTTCGAGTCCGAGTTCAACCGAAATGAGGAGAGAACGGTGGGAGAGGAGTTCGAGGTGGGAGTAGCTTTGTGGTTCGGGGGAGTGTCTGCTGCTCGACGCCACTGCAGCTTGGCGCCCCTTTGGAGTGCATGGACGAGGACCGAGCAGGACCCAGGGACCTACCGACCGACCCCACCCAAGGACCCGCCGGCACATGGTGGGAGGAAACCTGCCTACAGCCGGGGTCCTTGCAACTGCAACAATAAACGGGACTGAGGATGCGTCAAGGCTGCTGCTCTGCTGGCGGCGGATTGGTTGCCGGGCTTAGCGGTGTGGCTGAGAGTCCTTCTGCCGAGCACCACTCCCACCCACCCAACCATGCCCACTCCAACGCCCTACCAGGGCTCGCCTCGCGGCCTGCACAAGTGCAAGGATTGCGTCGCCACTGTCGGCTTTTACAGGGAGAAAAAAATATAATTAAATACTAAAATATATATATACCAAAATTAGGTGAAAAAATATAATTTTTCAAACTAGAAGTATTTAAATTAAGGCTTAATAGGTAAAAGGTACTCAAACTTTTGTTTTTCTTATGTGTTTCAGTAAAAATGAATCAAAAAAGTCATCAAGATCTTAAAAAAAATCAAAATTATAATAATTATGGAATTGTAACAGGCAAATCAAATAGGAAAATGTAAAATAAGGAACTTATATTTAAAAAATCTAATACTTTTTATACAGGAAGAAGATAAATAAAGAAATAAATAAATACTAAAGGAATGAACTGTACTCTTAAGTATTTTTTTTTGTTTCAAAATTAATAGGCATAACTATCATAAAATTTAATAAATAAGGTCAAGAATTAATGGATTAATTAAGAGAGTCATTAAAAATATTTAAACTGATTATAACAGTTAAAAACAATAATCATGAAATGTATTAAATAAGTTCAGGAATTAATGGAATTAAGAGCGTCATTAAGAATATTTAAACTGATTATAACAGTTTAAATATATAATTGTTTTTAAAGAGACTACTCATAAAACCTTCTTCGTTTTTTCCTAAAATCTCCAGGACCCCCTGAAATAATCTAGAACTCTCTTAGATTTTCTGCATAATTTCCCTTAATTTCTTTACTATTTTTTTTTTGTCAGTGTGCAGCTGTTCCTGCTTCCTGCTTCCTCCCGCTGATTCAGTTTCGGTTTCTGTGCCTGCATCGTTGCAGCATCGCTGTTGCTGTTGTGTCTCGCTTCCGCCAGATGAAAGTGGGGGTGTTCCTGGAATGGGTTGGCTCATGGTGGCTCGGGTGGCTCATGGTGGCTCGTTTTGTTTGGTGGATGGCTAAGTGGTGGTTAGGTGCATGAATGGACTGGGGGTGGGGCTGGTGTGCCTGCCTGCCTGCCGTGTGCCACTTTGGCCATGTTCGTGGCCGTGGCCGTGGCCTCGACTCATGCGCTCGTCCTCGTTTCTCCCTGCAGCTTCACACAACTTCACTCCGGCCAAGGCCAAGCTGGCAGAGGACGACGACGTCGCCGGCGATAATGTGGCACAATGACATTGCCATTGAACTAGGTCGAGGACGTGTTCCCTTTTGGCCACCGTCACCGCTGCCGTTTGTTTGGTTAATGTTTGCCTCCGTCTTCGTAGCCAGTTACTGGTGGGTGGGTTCATGATGGTGGTAATGGTGGTGGTAATGGTGGAGATGGTGGTGGTGGCGTGGTTGAGGTTGATGTTGAGGTACCATCCAGGCTTCTGTCTTCCGGGATAAATGTGCGAAATGTGACTGTGCCATGTGGCACAAAGCAAAGGCAGGAAGTGGTATGATTTTTAAAGAAGTAGCTGTTTTAAGATGTGGTTTTTATGTTTAAATAACTATTTAGAACTTGTTCTTATAATAAACCTAATTAAAATATACTTAAAATTTCTATAAAGTGAGAAGTTTGTAATTATCCTAATCAATGTATCGAATTAATAGCTTTTTGCAGACTTAATTGTAGATTTTAAGTCTAGAGGGATATAAATAGTTCTACACCAAAGAGAATACAAACAAAATATAGTCATTCAAAACATAAATATGTTATAAATATTGTATATATAATTATTCAGTATACATAAATATAATGTGTATATAAATATAAATTGTATATATAAGTATATTATATTTTATGCTAGTTTTTATAAGATATACGTAATATAATGCAGCTTAATTCGCAGCTTAATTCTGTTCTTTTTCATTAACTTTTTATATTAAATGTTATATTGCTTATTTAGTTCTATAACTCATAAGTTGTATATACCTTAACAGTTTAGTAAAATCCTTTTACCAATTAAAAGGAATACAAAACTAATTAAATTCCCTTAATACCCATTAATTTTCCCAAAGAATAAACTAATTAAGAACCCATTAAGCAAGCAATTAATTTATTTACTATTTATTTAATTAAATATTTATCCATGACATCTAAGAAAGCAACTGCTTCGCGTAAGTGATTTCTTAATCAGCTTTTTTGGATTGCCTTTTGTGAAACTTTCAATTCGTGCAGAAAGATTACGGCCTTGCACACTTAATGGCATTAGACTCAATTGCCAACAAAATATGACCAAAGATTAATGGAATTTTGCTCAAAAATAAAGAGGGAGAGATGACTGGCAATCAATTAAAATGCATAGACTGCAGTTGGAGTTGCCTAATGAAAGCCTTTTCTTCATCGAACGATGTCCAGACAACCAGTTTTCATCCTGCTGTCCGTTCCCTGGAAATCAAGAGTTGGGGTGGTTTGGTTTTGTGACTATTATGGATGTGTCTGCGCTTTGTCTAAGTTCTTGTTTTTGGGTGGCTGCCATCGGGGTTTTTTGGGGACGAGTTTTATTTATTTTAATTTAAATGAAATTTATTTTATACACACACACACACGCACACACATACGCATGCAGTGTGTGTGTTTTTTTGAGCGGCTAGTCAAAAGCTAAGGGTTGATTTTGTACATTTATATATGTATAAATGTATGCACATGGATTATGCACCCACACTTGCACATATAGAAACGTTTGGGCCACACTTTTGTATTTATATGTACCATAGGGTGGACCTTGGTGGGTTTAAATTAGAAAATTTGTGAACTTTTTAAATAGAGAAAATATACTGGACGTATGAGTAATGTATTCAAATTACTCATACGCCATGGATGATAAAGTTTCAGGAAACAAATATTTCTTTTTCAACTAAAATTCTATACAATTTTAGGGTATTTTTTTAAGTCTTTGTAATAAAATACCTGAAAATTAAGGGGTTCTCATAAGTTTCTGAGTATGAGAAACCTGAATATCACGTATACGTCACGTATGACGGTATATTGTCTTGGACAAATTTTTATTATAGCACAATATTTGTCAAAAATTTTATTAAATACATCTTTAGATATTAAATTAATATGAATCGATGTGTAATACAAGATTAGTACACGTAAATTATAAATATATTTTCTTTAAATTTAGTAAATATGATAACAAATTACGAAAATATATTTTTAAATTTATAAGTACATTTTAATTTAATGTATAATTTGTACAATCATAGTATTTGATATATGTATATGCAGTATACAAATATTATTTAATAAATATATATTATTAATTAAATAATTTGTATAATGTATAAATATAGCATAAAATAAATATTGCAAATTTGTTTCTTCCTTCAGGAGATTTGCTGAAGTTTTTAGAACAGTTTTCTTGTCTAATTTTATGAAATACATTATATAAAATATATAATATAATAAAAATATATTTATATATTTTTTAATATATATTTTATTCCTTAAATCCTTAGTCCACCCTAATAGACATATTCCATATAGAAAATGCAACTAAAATGTTTCACATGCAGTTTGTTTTTGCTGTTTTATGGCCAGTGTCTGGCCTGCAACAGCACCCACATGCAACACCCACCCCACTGTCCTACCCCCTCCTCCACAGAATGGCCTTTGCGGCAGACGAGAGACTGCAGTTGCAGTTGTTGCAACAACATTTGTTGCTGTTGCTTTTATTGTTGTTGCTGCT